CAGCAGCAGCAGCAGCAGCAGCAGCAGCAGCAGCAACAGCAGCAGCAGCAGCTGCTGCGAGAAAGAGTATCTAGCCAAGGGGTTCAAACGGCAGCAGCAGCAACAGCAGCAGGAACCTCGGTTGCAGCAGCAGAGGCCCAGGCAGCAGCAGCTGAATGAGCTGCTGCTGCAGCCGCTGCAGTACCTGAGGCAGCAGCAACTCCTTCGACTGCAGCAGCAGCAGCAGCAGCAACAGCAGCTGCAGCAGCAGCAACAGCTGCAGCAGCAGCAGCTGCTGAACAGCAGCAGCAAACCCCTTCACTGCATGCAACCTGAAGCAGCAGCAACAATGCTTGATGGCCTTTTGTATGAAAAAGAGGTAAAGCGGCTGCTGCAGGCTGCTGCTGCTGCTGCTATCAGCAGCAGCAGGAGCAGCAACAGCAGCAACAGCAGCAGCAGCACAGGACCGCATGCACAACCTCTGTGGGCTATCGAGCAGCAACTTGCTGCTCTGCTGCAGCGGTTGCTGCTGCAGGCTAACCAACAGCAGCAGCAACAACAGCAGCAGCAGCAGCAGCAGCAGCACCATGATGGGTCTTCTCCAAGACAGCATCTCCCGCAGCAGCAGCAGCAGCAGCCGCAGCAGCAGCAGCAGCAACACATGCTGGGCAAGCATGATACAAGAAGGCCTCTGCAGCAGCAAGTCCCCCCAGCAGCAGCAGCAGCAGCAGCAGCAGNCAGCAGCAGCAGCAGCAGCAGCAGCAGGCTCGCCAGTAGGAACTGCATACACCAAAGGCAACGAGTACCACCCCAGCAGCTTGAGGGGAGCTGCATGCACTGCAGCAGCAGCACCAAGCGCAGCAGCAGCAGCAGCAGCGGCTGCTGCTGCTGCTGCTGCTGCTGCTGCTCCTTCAGCTGGTTCTATTAATGCTGGGGCAGACCGCAGCGTGCTGATGCAGCAGCTGCAGCAGCAGCTGCAGCAGCAGCAGCTGCAGCAACAGCAGCTGCAGCAGCAGCAGCTGCAGCAGCAATTGCAGCAGCAGCTGCAGCAGCACGTCTTCAACCCTAGCGACGTGTGTTATGCACAGGAGCAACGGCAGCAGCATCTGCTGCCAGCAAAGCAGCAGCATCAGCAGCAGCAGCAGCAGCAGCAGCAGCAAAAGGTAGAAGGGGGAATGGAGCAGCACCTGCTGCAGCTGCTGCTGAATGTAGCAGCAGAAAAAGGAATAAGCCATGAAGAGCTGCTGCTGCAGCTGACGAAGCCGGAGCAGCAGCAGCAGCGGCTGCAGCACGAAACTCTAACCCAGCAGCAGCAGCAGCAGCAGCTGCAGCAGCAGCAAGCACTGCAGCATCACTTGCAGCAGCAGCAACAGCACCAACGCGAGCAGCAGCAACGCATGCAAGAGCAGCACCATCAGCAACACCTGCAGCAGCAGCAACTGCTGCAGCACCACCAACAGCAACTGCAGCAGCAGCAGCAGCAACTGCAGCACCAGCATCAGCAGCAGCACCTGCAGCAGCAGCAGCAGCAGCAGCAGCAGCACGAGCTAAGCTGGTCACCTGAGGAGAGAGATATTGTGCTGAAAGCGCAGCAGCACTTGCTGCTGCTGCTGCAGCAGGACCCGGTGCTGCTGCAGCAGGCAAAAGCAAAGGGGGCGCTGCAGGGGAGCTGGCTGTGGAGGCAGCAGCAGCTTGCTGCTGCTGCTGCTGCAGTGCAGCAGCTGCAGCAGCAGATCGCAGCAGCAACTCAATCCAGCCTCACCCGCCCAACAGAGAGTGTACGATTGGCTGCGCTGCAGCAGCAGCTGCAGCAGCAACTGCTGCTGCTGCAGCAGCTGCAGCACGAGGCAGCAGCAGCAACCACCAGACAACAAACGTTTACAGAATATGAGAGGGCGCAGCAGCGGCAGCTTCTAGCCCTGCTGCGGCAGCAGCAGCAGCAAATGCAGCAACAACAGCAGCAGCAGCAGCAGCAGCAGCAGCAGCACGTGCAGCAGCAGCAGCAGCTGCTGCCGCCAGTTAAACCTTGTA